GTGTGTGCATATGCCTCTGTGTGTGTGTGTGTGTCTGTCTGTGTGTGTATGCCTCTGTGTTTGTGTGTGTATGCCTTTGTGTGTGTGTGTCTGTGTGTGTATGCCTCTGTATTTGTGTGTGTGTATGCCTCTATGTGTGTGTGTGTGCCTCTATGTGTGTGTGTGTGCCTCTATGTGTGTGTGTGTGCCTAAATGTGTGTGTGTGTGTATGCCTCTATGTGTGTGTGTGTGTGAGGGAGAGAGAGAGCTGAATGAGTCACAGTGGGGATGCCAGCAGCTCACTCAGATGTAATGCAGGCTCGCGGCCCCTGAGGGGCACCCTTCCTCCTGCCGGCCGCCGTAGCGCCGCGGCTCAGTGTTTGGCTGCAGGGCGGGTCGACGCCGCTGCTGCTCGCTCTACTCACTCCTCTGCCTCTCTCTGATAACCTTACTTAGTCCCAACCTGTTGTTTTTCTGTTCTGACACAAGCAGTCTTTGAATTGGGAATGTTTTCATGGTAGGTATTTGTTTCTGCTAAGTAATACCCCCCTGTGTGTCGCCTGCCCCCATGGCCGTGTGTGCTGCAGTGAGCCTCATGCATGCCGCCATCGTGCTGTGTCCCCATAGTCTGTCTCCTGTAGAAGCTGTTTTCTTTTTTTTCCTTTTCAACGTGCCACAACTTCTTTTGTTCTGAAGGGTTTCTGTTCTTCATTTCTTGCTGAACGCACAATCCAGTGGGCTAGCCTGCCAGTCAGCTGCAGCCTCTGTGCTGCCTTGTTTGGCTGAAGCACTGTTACGTGATAACAAAGACTGATCGGGTAGAGCATGATTACTGGGTTTCCGGAATTTCAGCAGCCCCCCCTAGGTGCCATGGTGCCCCATCTCCCAGTCTAACCACTCCCCAGAGGACTGGGAGCCAGGTGTTGGACCTTGGCACGTTAACTGAAGTGCTTCCCGTAGATCCCAAAAGAGCATGCTGGCGTTTCCGATGTCTGCGTTTGCAGAAATCCCCCTGGCTCCACGTCTCTGGGGGCTCCAATTGGCCACCCTCTGCTTTACCTGCTCCTCTGACCAGGACGTCGCCCCTCACTGTTACACCAGCCTCTGCAAACAACTGCAGGCATGTGGGGAAATTCAGTCCGCATGCAGATGCTTTTCTGATGGCCGCGTTCAGAATGCTCTGACGTCTCTAAAGAAAGCTTTTCGGCGGCGAGAATGGGCCCGAGTCGGCGTGGGTCATTCACTCCGGCTGCTTGTTTAAAATGCCCCCCTGGCAGCTCGCCGCCTTCGGCAGGTCAGGTCGCCCCAGAGAGGCCCTGGCCACCGTTTAGTTAGTGCTCTGTAGCGCTCCCAGTGGAGTTTGCCGACCGCTTGCACGAGGTTACCCTGAAAAGATACCTCTGGCTGTGCTTCCTGCGAGACCACGGGATCGATGTGCTGCACGGAAAGATGCCAGGGATCGATACACCTTTTTAAAAATGGATATCACCTTATTTACTGCGTTTGACAGGCAGTTATGCGGCTGTCTGTGGAAGCGGCCGGCACTGGGCTCTTTCTAAGCCCTCCATCTTAAACCTGCCCTAACAAGCCCTTCCCCCTGCTTTCCACGCACTCTTTTCTTTAACGATCCTTCCCCCCTCATTTTCGCTCTTTATCTCCTCTCCTGTCATTACACTGCTCCCTTACTCCCTATTCCTGGACACTGCATGAAATCTCCCACCTGCATGATCCCCATATATGCTGTGCTTGTGTGCTTCCAGCCACATTGCCTCTCTGTGTCTGTGTGTCCTCCCTTCCCTGTGAACCCTGAGATCACACTCTCTCTCACTCTCTCTGTCTGTCTTCTCCCTGTGAACCCTCTGATCACTCGCTCCTTCTCTCTGTCTGTCTTCTCCTCTCTTTCTTTGTCTGAGACCTAAACCCACACACTTGCAGGCAGGCAGGGGTATGACTTGAGAAACGATCCTTACCCAAGCTGCATATAACCAACCAGCCAATCAAAATTGGTCCTTACCCAAACTGCTCAGAACCGGCCAATCACGGTTCAGTCTTCTCTGAGCTGCGTATGACCAGCCAATCACGATTCGTTCATAGCAGTCAGTCACTCTCCTTGTGGATGCAGTTGTAAAAAAAAGAGGTGGCTGTTATCATCCAGTCTGAGTCCTCCTGACCTCCTTGCTGCCCCTGGGGGTGAATGACCAGGGTGGGAAATGCTGAGCAGGTCTCTCTGGGCCGTGCTTGTGAGGGCCTGGTGGGTGGGGCTCTCCTGTTTGAGTGACAGCTGCGGGAGGCCCCCTGTAGGGGGGCTGACTCTGTGCTGTGTGATGCCCCCTGCAGGTGTGCGCTTGTAGAGGGTCTCTCTTCGGACCAGCTCAGCTGACAGTTTCACTCCTCCCCAGACAGCTGGACACCCCCTTTCCCTTTCTGACAGGCATCGGGACTCTGTCCTGCTGCCCTTGGCCGCTCCCTCTTCCTCCTCCTCCTCTTCCTCACTCTGCGTGCCGTCCTCCCCTCCCACTCATTCTGTCGCTCCCGCTCTCCCGCCTGATTGGGTGAGGGGCCTGCCTCAGACGCCCGGAATGTGGAGCTGGGCGCCGCACCTCCCAGCCAATCAGACGGCCATTACGTTGACGGTTTTGTGTCGTTGCCCCACAGTTTGCTGACGGCTGATGTTATTGCCCCCCCCCCCCCACACTTTCAGGAGGAAAAAGAAGTGCATTCGCTACATACAAGGTGAAGGCAGCTGCGCAAGCCCCCCCTCCTCGGACGGAAGCTTACTGGACTCCCCTCCTTCCTCCCCCTCCCTCATCGCCTCCCCCACAAAAGACTCCAAACCTCAGACTGAACAGATGCAACCTCTCTCACTGACTGTGAAGCCGTCTCCTCTGGCACACCCTCACACGCCCCCATCTTTGGGCCTGCTGACCAGCACGGCGACGGCAGCCAAGCCGACCGTCCAGAACGGCGCTTCGCTGGAGCGCCCAGAGGCCCTGCCCCCGGCCCGGCAGCCGGGCTCCTCGGCGCTGACCAGGCCCTCGCCATCCCTGTGCCTCCCCCGCCGTGGCCCGCAGCCCCTGTCACTCGTCACCAAGCCCATAGAGTAGCCCAACCCCTTAGCTGCCCCCCCCCCCCCCCCCCCCCCCCCGCTGCTTCAGACCTGAGTGCCCCTAAGAAATGCCGAGCACGCTTTGGCCTCGATCAGCAGAGTAACTGGTGCGGGCCCTGCAGGTGTGTATGACGTGTGTCTGCGGCTGACAGCCAGGTGAAGCTGGGGTTGGCCGGCCGGCCCCTCTGCCCACAAGTGCCCCCATCTCTCCCACCCTCCTGCCACTGCTACTAGACAGGTAGCTGAAGAGCACTGCAGCTCCACACTGACCCCTGCAGGCCTATCTGCACACCTGTACCTGGTGTTTTACACTTCGGGCAACTTAAGTAGGCTAGAGACGAGGAGGAGGAAGGGCTTGATGGGAGGCACAGCTGATTGGCTGGTAAGTCGAGGGCAGCGGCGCCTAATGACAACCCCAGCCGGACCCTGAGCCTGTCTCCATATCATGTTTGTCCAATGACCGGTGTCCACTCTCTCTCTCTGTTGTATTTGTGTTTTTACCTTTTTGGCTAACAGATGCAAATACCCCAAAGAAGTGTCGTGCCTTGTTCGGGCTTGACCGGCTGAATTTATGGTGCAAACCATGCAGGTATTCTCACTAACACAGAGCCTTGGTGAAGTGTGAAGATGGCACTCATGATGGTGCTGGTGACGGTGATGATGATGCCCTTCCTCTGCTACCTTCAGAATGTCCCTGCTTTTCTGACCCCAATATCTTGTCCGGCCCCCTCCCTGCCTTCTTACTGAGGGACAACCCCCACCCCCCAATTACTATATCCTAGTTAGCTGGGGTTCCGTGTGGCTTTGGATTCAGTCGTATTACTGAATTAGTGGGTAACCTCCATTTTAACTTCTGTGTGAAGAGATTTAGCTGTTGGCTTGTTTTCATGGTTCCAAGGAGCTGGGATTAGAGGGAGTGGCCAGGTACATGATGGATGGATAGTTGGATGGATGGATGGATGTTCTTCGAAGTCTTGCACAAAAATACTCTGAGGGCAGAAGGAAAAACTATTGGTCAAGGGAGATAACCAATCAGATTGCAGAGGAGGTGGGACCAACCAATTAGATGTCTTTGTCCCAACTCCTCTAGTTGCTTGGACCCACCTCCTCTACAATCTGATTGATTATATCACTGATCATTGATTATATTTCTCCTTCTGCCCTCAGAACAATTTTTGTGTAAGTAAAACTCTCATGAGCTGCATGGATGGATGGATTGCTCTAAACAGTAGGGTAATTTTAAGTCAACAACATAGCTGTATATGTTAGTTGCACATTGGTGCAAACAGGAATGGTTCCTGTCTTATACAATATCTGTGTGTGCATGTCTGGCTTTGCATTTACTATATTGTGGGAACCAAACGTCCCACAATGTGGTAAAACCTGTTACTTCTTAGCTTGTTGGGACATTATGAGCTCGATTTTAAAAAAATCTGTGAATGCAATTCATAAACAAAAACAACCAAAATTTTGTTTGGTTACTTATGGTTAAGGTTCGAACTGGGTAGGGGATAGGGTTAGTATAGTTAGGATTAGGGTTATGCATATAGAAATGGAGAGTCCCCAGAATGATAGAAATATATGAACCGTGCGTGTGTGTGTGTGTGTGTGTGTGTGTGTGTGTGTGTGTGTGTGTGTGAGTGTGTTTGTCTGTGCGTGCATATGTGTGTATCTATATGTGTGTGTGTGTGTGTGTGTGTGAGTGTGTTTGTCTGTGCGTGCATATGTGTGTATCTA